TTCTCAATGCTGGAAAAGAGCTCTGCCCCTTCCTCTGCTCTGCATCAACCCAGAGGAGTGCACAGCATGGCAGTGTGGGCAGATCTGTCAGGGCTGGAGAGAGTTCCAGACCTGGGAGAACTCCCCTCCTTCCACAAATCAGCAGGGTCCTCACAGGGCTCTCTCAGCCCTGGGCAGGTAGGTTGTCAGGGAACCAGTGCTCTTTTTTCCTTCTTCTTCCTATATTGGAGGGAGGGAGAGCAGGGGACTGTGGGATACCAAGGGTCCTCAATACCTGAGAGAAGTATATAGCTGTGTGTTCAAGTTACTGCAGGAATTGAGACATCTTCCTCGTGGAAAGTTGTATAACTTTCTTGCAGAAGACCCAGTTTTTTTCTGCAAGAAAGCCCTTGAATAGCCAAATACTTTCTTTTTGTGGTGGGAGAGAGGCTCTTGTCTCAGCACAAATGTAATGCTAGGGCTAGTCCATGGCCATACTTTAAGTCTCTCTTCCTACATTTCAATGTCCTCATGGAAAAAAAAAATTATACTTATTTCTTTCACATACTCAGGCAAAAGGCCAGCACTCTAACCATATTCAAGGTATTCAGTTTTGCTTCATCTGCTAAAGAATGCAATTTCAGAAAGAAAGACTGGAAAGCATGCAGGCTGTCTAATAAAGTCCAAAACAACTTTAGGCAAAGCCTAGAGTGGGGCCTCGGATACTACTTATCCTTGTGGAAGATATCAGTGTTGCTTATCTGGATAAGTTCGCAGATGACACCAAATTATGGGGAAGCACAGTCTCACTGGAGAATAGGCTAGGGAATCAGGCTGACCTCAACAGGCTCACAAGGTGGATAGCTCAAAACCTAATGACAGAGAAATGCAAGGTACTCCACCTCAGGAGAAAAAACCCACATCATACTTATAGGTGTGGCAGTGCTTCACTCACTAGCACCAAGACCAAGAGACTTGGGGGTCATGACTGACCACAAGATGAATATGAGCCACCAATGCGATGCTGCAGCCAGCAAAGCAAATAAAACTCTGGCTTGCATCTACCGATACATCTCAAGCAAAATCCAAGAAGTCATCCTTCTGCTTTACTCGGCCTTGGTGAAGCTGTAGCTGGAGTACTGCATCCAGTTCTGGGCTCCACACTTTAAAAAGGACATGGAGAAGCTTGGGAGAGTCCAGAGGAGAGCCATGCACATAATCAGAGGTCAAGAGAGGCCTTATGAAAGGCTGAGAGGCATAGTACGCTTCAGCCTGGAGAAGAAAAGCCTCAGGGGTGACTTCGTGGCAGCCTATAACTACATAAGGGGTGTGCATCAGGAACTGGGAGAATGTCTGTTCACGAGGACACCCCAAAGGAAAACAAGGTCCAATGGTCACAAACTGCTGGAAAACTGTTTTAGACTGGACATAAGGAAAAACTTCTTTACTGTCCAAGTCTCCATAGTCTGAAATAAACTCCCCACAAAAGTGCTGCAAGCACCTACTCTGGACATGTTCAAGAAGTGTTTGGATGATTATCTTGCTGGGGTCATCTGACCCCAGCTGACTTCCTGCCCTTTGGGCAGGGGGCTGGACCCAATTTCACAAGGTCCCTTCCAGCCCTGATGTCTATGAAATCTATGTAATAAGTATCTGCAATTCCTAATTCCCTATCCTTCCTGCCAATGATCATTAGAAAGACCATCTTTACTGAAAGGAGTTGGAAGCAGTAGCTTGTCATGGGGTCTAACAGAGGTCCCATTAATCCTAGTGAGCACTAAACTAAAATCCAACTGATAAGGGAGTTCTCTGAGATGCATGTAGGTCAGTCCTTTATTGGAAACACAAAGCTGGATTGTCTCATACACAGCTTCCTCTTCTGTAGCGGGATGTCCTGAACTGCTGCCAAGCAGTTCTCTCCGCTGTAGACAGCACGCACAAAGGCACCATATTCATTTGAATCCAAGATGAGCCCCACCTTCACCCCCACTCAGCATGGGGGGAAAAAGGCCCTCATCTTAGATTCATGGGGAGGGAAGTGGAGGGGGCAAGTGGGGGGTTGGTGGCTCCTGCAGCTCTGACTCTGGTTCTGAGCTCAGGCTGGGGCCAGAGTCAGACCCACAGCACCCCCCACCCCCACTTGCCCTCTAAAACTTCTCCCTGCTCCTTTCCCTTTGTTTACTGCCAGGTACAGCTCAGCTGTGTCTCAGACTGGATTCCCCTCCTGGGCACAGAGTGCATGGAAACTTCATCCCCTGCCCAGCCAGTCTGTAGCACTGATACTGATATGTGGCCTGGCAGGGGATGCACTTACATGTGCTGTACTTTGTGACCTGACAGGCAATAGACCCTGGCCGGCACTTGACAGTAAAAAGCAAGGGGGAAGGAACTGGGTGGAGTGGGAAGGCTGCAGGGGGAAGGAGAAGGGGCAGGGAGCATGGGGGCTACTAAACCACCTCCTCCCAACAGCCACCACTTTCCCTGCTGTAGCAGTTGTGGGGTGGGGGTAGGGGACAATTTAAGACAACTCTATAATAATTAGATTCTATACTTGGAAAGTTATAACAAATGTATAATTTTTCCATATATAGAATCTAATTACCGGGGTATTTTCTTAAATTCGGGGTCATCTTAGATTCAAGTAAATATGGCAGTATCCGCGCTGTTGGGTGCAGTTACCTGAGTTCTAGATGGAAGCCCTGATCATCATTTTATGGCACTATGTCAAAGTAACAGTAGTAAGATGACCACAGCCTACTGTACTAGTACTGCCTAGCCCAGTGGTGCTCAACCTTTTTCCCTGGCAGGATGGGTGGGCAGTGTCTGGTCCAACCGTGAACTGGATGGTAATTCTGACCCAGTGCCCAGGGTTGGGTTGGCAGCCACTATATGACCAGTTGGACAAGGGTGGGGATCAGCCCGGCCTGAGCCTGGCGCTGCAGATGAAGTAGGAGTTTTCAGACAGCCCAGCCCCAAGAGGGGGAAAGGGCATGAGGCCTGGCCCCAACCTGGCCGCCTAGAATAAAGGGGTTCTGGCCCAGCCTCAAGCGGGGAAGGGGACATGGCCCAGTGCCAACCTGGCCCCATGGGGGAGAAGGGGGCATGGCCTGGCCCTGCTGGGTGCTCAGGGCTTGGGGTTTGGGAATTTAGCAGGCGACCGTGGCCACTGCTCCCCCACCACCAAATTTCCTGACCTGTGGGGAGCCCTATGGACCATGTGTGATGGCTTTGTGGGCCACATTTGGTCATTACAGTAAAACTAAGAGTTATGCACATCAAAAACTACAACACAGCACAATACCCACGTTTGATGTATTTGACACTACATCAATTCCATTAATATTTTGTTCAATAACAGAGCTTATCTATTACAAGATGTTATTTTTTTAACAAAGTTTATACATATAATATAGTAATCAGAATCCAAAAATCATCCTAGCAAGTAGAATGCAGTGACAAGGATTTACTTACATGCTTTGATAGGTTGGGGCTCTTTGAATCAACATCATATCTAAGAAAAAGAAAAGAAAGAAGTTACTTCCAAATGCTGGAGTTAAACACAATAAATAAATGGGCACTTTAGGTTATTCACACAGACAAAACAAATGGGCAAAAATAATATATTTCAATAGAATCCTCATAAGTGAAGAACAAATATTATACCCAAACAAAGTTTCCCCCAACTCTAGAATCCCTGGAATAAAGAATCACTCTACAACATGAGCCATTTGACTACTGGAATTCACTCCTAGTCATTTTATTGAACTGTGAATGCAGAGACAGACCCAGAGTGTGTGTGATGATACCCGCTTCATCTATGCTGTGTTGCATATGAAGATTCAAGAGGAAGGTGTGGGTGGTTCAGTCAAACCCCACTTTGACTGTGCTGCACATGTGCATTGAGCGCTCTTAGCTCACTGGTATATAAGCACAGATTTTGCTGGATATGCTATAGCAGGTGGAGCTGCACAGTTCTGGGACCCCAGAAGTGAGTTCTACTACCACCTGCCTCTCCTTTTCCCATGTTGCCGAATTTAGCTTAAGACATGGGAATAGGGAGAGCAACTGGCAGTGACAGCATTCACCACACGCCACCCTCACACCTTTGGAGCTGCACCAAAGCATCAGTTCCAGCAAAAGCCAAGCTCACAAGTTGGTGAGCTTAGAAAACTCACTGCACCTGCACAACACAACCAAACTGAGGGGAAAAAGGGGGGAAGGAGGGGGAATGACTGCCCCTCACCCCCTCCTCCTGAATTTGCCCATGAATAAAGGCTATAAAGTAACAAGGGATACTTGACATGGGATTATGAATAATACTAAAACTACACATCAAGGATTTTTTTCTATAAAAGTTTAGTTAAGCCTTGTACGGACACTCAGCTTTTCCTGGGAGAATCACTGCTCTCCCAAGAGAAACCACAAGTATATATAGATATTCAGACTTTTTGTCCCAAAGTAAAAATGGCTGCTCCAGAAGAAAAATAATCTGGGAACAACCAGGGTTAAATCCTTCCCAGGAGACTTTCTCCTGGGAAAGCAAACATCTGCACATGCTGTGGCTTCTCTCAGAAGAGAGCATAGTCCTGCAGCAACTCCCCCCTACCCACAAGAAGACAATCCATCACTGGCTGGACTTTGCTGCTCCAGCAGGGAGCAGAACATGCCCCTTCACAATCACTGTATTGTGTTGCAGGGAAACACAGGCAGGCCATGGGCAGTCTGGGTCAGCCAATCAGGGCTGCCCTATGCACTGTTGCCCTCTGTCACCAGGCAGACTAAGCAAGCCAGCACAGCACACTGAGATGTACACACCAGGTCGCCCTCCCTGGCTGTACAGTATCAACACTGCACACTCCCCACTCTTCAGGGCCTCAGCATTTGAATACCTGTACATGCAGCCCTGTGTAAGTTCCTCTACCTGGAGAGCAAACCTAGGAGAATTCATATTAATTGATGTCATAATTTAGATTTTAAAATGGCCTTTGATGTGGTCTCCCATGATGCTCTTGTAAGAAAAAATGGGGATGGGGATTTGTGGGCTGGCAGAGTCCATGGTCAGGTGGGTTGGGAACTGGCTAGGCTGCCGAATCCAAAGAGTGTTGGTGGATGGGTCTGTATCATCTTGGTGGGAAGTGGCCAGTAGTGTCCCGCAAGGTTTGGTTCTTGGCCCTGGACAAGAAGCGATGGCCATAAACTGTTAAAGGATGGTTTCAGGTCGGAGGTAAGAAAGAACTTTATGGTGAGGGTGACCAGAATCGGGAACAGACTCCCCAAGGACGTGATACAGTCCCCAACCTTGCAAGTCTTCAAGAGGAGACTGAACACCGTGCTGGGATCATTTGATCTTAGCAGTATTCCTGCCCAGAGCAGGGGGGTTGGACTCAGTCTTTTGAGGTCCCTTCCAGACCTTAATTTCTATGATTCTATGACTCTATGATTCTCACAGATTATTTGAAGTTGTGTGCGCATCCTTAATTTTTCAGGCATTCCTTGATTAAGCTATATAGCAATTGATAGAACCTGACATTTATTTGTTTACTTTACCTTTCAGTCCCCAACATTTTGGGTAGGGACAGGTGATCACAAAACCCATCCAGTGTTATTTACAGTGGTCTTCTACCAACAAACCTGAAGCTCATGCAAGGATAGCTGTCAGGAATCAAGGCAGCAGGCAGGCAGACAAGCCCCCTGATGGCCCTAGCTGCCTGTGTGGAAGTGGCTGCCAGCTGCCTGAGTGCCCTCAGCTGGACCCTAATAACGTACTTGGTTTTATACAGCATGGAAGCAGCAGTCCTTGCAGTGCTCTGTTGGCTCTCAGCCAAACAGATTTCCCTTCTGTCTAGCTCCAGTGCTCTTGCTTCTTGACATCTCCCGATTTATTGTTCCCACATCTGCTTCCTGCTTCCCCTCTTCCTAGCCTGAACCTCTGCCTTGCTCCAACCTCTGAATCTTGCCTAGTTCCTCCCTGCCCCTATACCAGGTCCCATGCAGCCTACTCCTGTTCTGGATGGCTCTATTCCTGCCCTAAACCTCCCATCTCAACCAACAACTTGCCTCAGCCATGAACTCAACTTAACCCCTGGCTTGATACCACAGACTGACTGATACCTGGGTTTATGACCTTGACTTGACTCTTATACTCCTAATCTTGTGACCCCATTTGATTCTTGGGCTTCTGGTTTGTTGGCTCTTGGCTTTTGTTCTGCTGCTATGGGGCTGGGCCAAAACAGCAGTGCCAGCTCTGCACCACTGCTATGGGGTGGGCTGCAGCAGGGATGGAGCTTGCCAGCACAGAGTAAAGGTAAGGAGAAGTACGGGAGAGAGAGGAAGAAGTGGCATGGTAGGGAGACTGGGGGCTGCAGGGCATGCAGAGGCAGCAGGGGTACAGGGAACATGGCAGGCAGCAGCTGTGGCTTCAACTCCAACCTCAACCCTGGGTTGGAGCCCAAGCTACAGCCTCAGCCTGCCTGCTGCCCTCCACCTTGTGCTCAACTGTAAGGTAAGGGACTTTCCCCCTATATTAAATAGGGGGGAACCTCATTTTCTAATTGAGTACATACAGTAGATAGACAATTATCTACACATGATTCACAAGATAAACCCAGACATTTCAAACAAGAATCTATAGTGTTAATAACATTCTACCCTGCTGTAGTCTTTCTGAGCTCTTTGCAACAAAATAACTGCTCTATTACTCCTCTGTAGTAAAAAAAAAAAAGGAAAGTATAAGCTGGCATTTTCCAAGGGGTGCCTTGAGTCTCAGAAGTTTGAGAATAACTGGTATAACCTTACATCCACAGAAACCAGTCTTAATTCTTTAAAGGATAATTCTCAAGAATACTGGGCAAAATTATGGATTAGTGGCATCTATTTGCTACATTTTACACTAGTGTAATGCTGATCGTATCAACAAAAATGTGTTTTCTGTGCACAGCTTTTGACATCTTTCTACCCCCTGCCAGAAACTACATTTATTTTTCTTTCTGTTAAATTAGATTAAGTAAAGCCTTAATGAACAGGCTCATTTAAATCGGAGACAATAAAGACCTATTCAGTCTCATTATTATTTTAATACAAGATCATTTACATTTAAGCGGTGTTTTGTATAGTTTTTAATTACAGTATTTAAATGTTGTACATTTTTTAAACGTAAAATCCATTAAAATGAAGAAAATAAAAAGAGGCATTTGGTAGCCTTATTGGTCTGAGACAAAAAGAAATACAAAACTCTAAAATAAAAAGGTATCATCTCTGAACCAAGAGGTTTAGAAAATAAAAAGATGCATTCTAAGTATTCAAAATATTTTACACACAAGTGTAAATGGCCAAAAATCAGGATTATTTTTGTTCTTTTACACAGACAAAAAGGTGACAAAAATATTCTAAGCAAAATCTTCTGTCACTTTGAAATTAAACACCTTTCAGAGAAAGTTTGCTAAGTATCATGCCACACTTGTAAATGTTTCTGATGACTGCCAATGATTACTATAAATTTTATCCATATCTTTTTCACCATTGTAAATAATTCAGTTGTTATAATTTTGCAATCTTATGGCAGATTACTAAAATAATATTTTTTTTATTATTAAGGAGCATTTGAAAGCTGATGCAGTATAAGAATAATACCTTTAAATCATATTCCTATTTTAAAACATCATTTTGATTCATATTTAAAAACAAAAACAAGAAAAACCTAATGGTTTCAGCCTAAGTAGATTAGATACTAAACTTTCTAAAGCAGGGACCATCTCATTCTAGTTGTACAGCATGGTCTCCTAATTTCTGACTACGGCCCTAGAGCTGTCCATCTCATTTGGGTTGGTGGGCCAGATCTGGACCATGGGGCTTCTTGAGGGTACAGAGTAAGGGTACAGACTGACACAGGCAATGAAACGCTTTGAAAAGAGCTGTTCCACCTAAAAAATGAACCTAAAAATCCTGCAGAAACAACTGTGAAGGATAAAATTGTGAAACAATTCATGTTACATTTATACACTTGAGAAGAACATAACAGGAAGTTGGTTAATGCTCTGGCAGCGCTCCCAACGTGCTCCACTTCCTAACCCCACAGTGCCGTAAGGAGCTGCCTCTGACTTGCACCAAACTCCACTCCTTTGGGTTCCCGGGACCTGGCTGGCATGAGACCTCTACTATTTATTGTCAGGAGTGAAGGCACCCTGGGCCCTCATTTTGCCAGGCACTCCGGCCTCTGAGAAATCTACCTCTACTGTAACAGAATAATACTGAGGATCTTTTGTAACAAGTCAACAGTGAGCAGCCTGCATCAGCAAACTGTTGTGTCCTTAAAGTAGTCAAACTGGGTTGGATGAACTTCCTTGTTATCTGGGATAATGAGAACACCCAGTGCTCACTCCAGACAAGCTGCAACAGTTAGTCAAAATTCACAACTCTTCAAATTCTTTCCATTAGGAAGAGAAACTAATAACTAAGTCAGGTCTCTGATGCATTCCTGTTCCTTAACATAAAATATGCCAAGTCTTTTTTCCC